GTGCGATTGAAACTTCGTGGCCCATGCGCAGAAGTCGGTATTTTGTGGAAGAGCCACACTCAAGGAGCTAAAGAGCCATATGTGGCTCGCGAGCCACAGTTTGCCGACCACTGCTCTAACCAACTGAGCTACCTGGCCAGGGCCTTACTTTATTTTTATTGATTTCAGAGAGGAAGGGAGAGGGAGAGAGAGAGATAGAAACATCAATGATGAGAGAGAATCATTGATCGACTGCCTCCTGCACGCCACCTACTGAGGATCGAGACCTTGACCGGAATTGAACCCAGGGCCCTTCAGTCGGACGCTATTGAATAGAGTCTATTCACTGAGCCAAACCGGCTAGGGCTCTCCAACTTTTTAAAGGCTGAAAACCACTCTTCGCTCATGACTATGTGGTGCTACTGGCATGTAGGGGGTAGAGGCCACAAGTGCTGCTGAGCATCCAGCAAAGCACAGGACAGCCCCTCAACAAGGAACTACCTGGTCCCAAATGCCACCAGTATTGAGGTTGAGAAACACTTTCTTAAACTAAAGGCTGCTCAGACCTGCCTAACAAAGCTTTAAAAGTCTCCAAAGGACCCAAACTATTTCCAATTAACATAACTGGGTCCCTGAACAAAGCTGAAAAATATTTATAGGAATATTTTTCCTTCTAGAAATAATATAATTTTAATAATCTAGCACCCAACCACATAAAATTCTAAACTAGGAGTACAAGGCATGTAAAGAAGCAGGAATGACCAAGAACAAGAAGAAATAAACATAAACAGACCCAGAAATGACACACAATAGAATCAAAGACCTTTAGAAAGACATTATACACATGTTTATATGTTCAAGGAGGCAGAGAAAAAGCAAGAGCATGTTAAGAACAGATGAGGAAACCGGCCCATTTGTACTTTACAACTGAAAAGCAGAATTTCTGAGATGAAAAATAAACCATGTAGGATTAATAACAGATTACATTGAGCAGTATAAATTATCCATAATGAAACACAGAAAAACAAAAAACTCAAAATAACAGAAAACATAAGCATATCATTGAGCAGTGGGACTACATCAAGTTGTCCCTAATATGCATGTAAATAAAGTCTTTCAAGAAATAGTGATTGTCGCCCTAGCTGGTTTGGCTCAGTGGATAGAGCGTCGGCCTGTGGACTGAAGGGTCCCAGGTTCGATTCCGGTCAAGGGCACATGCCTGGGTTGCGGGCTCGATGCCTAGTGGGGGAAGTGCTGGAGGCTGCCGATCAATGCTCTCTCATCACTGATGTTTCTATCTCTCTCCCTCTCCCTTCCTCTCTCTAAAATCATAAAAATATATTTTAAAAAAAAGAAGAGAAAGAATGATTGTCTACAAAGGTATAACACAAGGGAGTTTTTACAGTGATAAAATGGTTTTGTGTCCTGGCTTGAACTGGTGGTTACAAGAAACTATACCTGTGCTAGAATTCATAGAACTGTATGCCAAAAAATGTTGACTTTATGTTAAATATAAAAATTAAAAATGTTTCAATAACTGAAAGTCAAACAAATTTGAAACAGTGCACCACAAATGTAAGAACCTCAACAAACCCTAACAGAAACATGAAACCAACACAAAGAAACACTCAAATTGCTTAAAACAGTGATCAAAAAATTTTATTTTTTACCTTTTTATTTACTGACTAGAGGCTTAATGCACAAAATTCGTGCGAGAGTAGGCCTTCCTTCCCCTGGCTGCCGGCACCGGCCTCCCTCCGGCACCCGGGACCCAGGCTTCCCTCGCAGCCCCGGCTTTGTCCAGAAGGACATCTGGTCTAATTAGCATATTATGCTTTTATTATTATAGAATTTATAAAGAAAGTGGAAGGGGGAAGGAAACACTGATTTGTTGATCCACTTATTTATGCATTCATTGGTTGATTCTTTTTGTTGTTGTTAATCCTCACCTGAGAACATTTTTTCCATTATTTTTAGAGAAAGTGGGAGGGAGGGAAGGTGGAGGGGGGGAGGGGAGCGGGAGAGAAAAAGAAACATCGATATGAGAGAGACACATCAATTGATTGGTTGCCTCCCACACACACCCCAATCAGGGCTGGGGATCAAACCTGCAACCTAGGTATGTTGCCCTTGACCAGGAATAGAACCTGAGACCCTGCAGTGTGCAGGCCAATGCTCTAACCACTAAGGAACACCAGCCAGGGCTATTGCTTCTTTTTTTGCTGCAAAAAGCTTTATTGTTTCATTTGGCCCAATGCATGGGAGAGGGCTCCAGGGTGGTTAAAAGAATGGCTAGTAGTTTCGGGAAGAGGCTCAGGTAAAAGCCAGAGACACCAGGGGATGCAGAGGGGCCTCGGAAAGGCCTCTGGGCTCCAAAGGCTCCTGGTCGTGCTTGAGGGTGAGCCTTTCGAAGAGACACTTGCCCAGCCCAGCCTGGGGGGCGGCCAGCCTGCGGATGTGAGTCAGGTGTCGCCCATCTTCTTGATCAGTTTCGCCTCCTCATCCAGGAAGTGGTTCTCCAGAAAGTCACAGAGATGAGGGTCAGGGCCTGCAGCTCCAAAAGGGTGTGGGTCAGGTTCCTCTCCAAGGCCAGGGCGGCTTCCATGGTGTCCTGAGTTTGGCCCCCCATCATCTTGGGAAGGTTTCTGCACGTCCTGGAAGAGAATGCTGCCGCCACGCTTGTTTTGCAACTTTAAGAGATGCTCAGTGCCCCTCGCGCTTCTTTGCCGCCAACTCGCGGAAGAAGTGGCCGCCGCCCTCCAGAGCCACATCTTCCTGGTGGAAATAGTAGCCCAGAGAGAGGTGGGTGTGGGAGGCCCCAGAAGCAGGCTGGCCAGGCAGCTGACCGCAGCCTCCACCTCGGTGGAATAATTCTGACGAATGTGGGAGGTCATGGCTGCTCGGCAATAAGGAGTGAAGGTAGAAAAAACCGGTGTGTTGGCTGGTCCCGGAGGTGGTTCTGAGGTGGTGACTGGATGAGAGGCAGGAGTGGCCGGAGGCTGGAAGAAGGGGCGTCCCTGGGTCTGTTCTGTCCAAACACTGTGGAAGCAAGAGACGGATCCGGGACCTCGGAGGGCACTGCCGGTTGATTCTTGTATGAGTCATGTTTTTTAAATCTACTTTCTTAATCTGGGCCTTTTGGGCATTTTTAGAATATTTATATTTAAGATGACTAGGTATGTATTAGAAGTTAAGTCTGACAAATTATATTTTGCTTTTTGTTTGTTCTTTTTGTTTTCATTTGTTTTCTTATCCCTGCCTTCCTGTGAGTTACTTGAATGTTTTAAATTATTGTAATTTGATTTATTTATAATGTTTTTTGAGTGCATCTAGAAATGAAGTACAATTTTCCTTATTCACAGACCACCTGACCATCTCTATATAAAATCTTAAGGAATCCTTTTTAAAAACACTACTGGAATTAGCCCAGCAGGTGTGGCTCAGTGGTTGAGTGTCGACCTATGAACCTGAAGGTCACAGTTCCTTTCGAGTCTCGGGCGGGGCACATGCCCAGGTTGTGGCTTGATCCTCAGTGTGAGGCATGCAGGAGGCAGCTGATCAGTGATTCTCTATCATCACTGATGTTTCCATCTCTCTCTACCTCTTTCTGAAATCAATAAAAATTTATTTGGACCAAAAAAAAAAAAAAAGAGTGAAAGAGATATTAAAAAAACCAAAATTAAGTGAGTTTAGCAAAACTGCAGTATATAAGATCAATATCCAAATATCAATTCCATTTCTATATTCAGCAATAATCAGAAACTGAAATTAAAAAACTATTATCATTTATAATAACTTTCAAAAACTAAAATACTTTGGGATAAATCTGATTTAAAATGTGTACATTATATACAACATTGCTAAGAAAAATTAAAGATCACCTAAATAAATGGAGAGGCATACCTTGTTTGTGGGTCAGAAGACAATATTGTTTAGATGTCAATTTATCCCAAATTGATTTATAGCAAGCATGTCAAACACATGTGGCCCACAACAAATATTTTTGCGGCCCAGCCAATATAACAGTATGTAAGAAACATTTTAATAAAAATTTCATAACAATGTTTACAATATCCTGTTATAGATAATTATTAATAACGAACTACAA